AAGAGCTATTTCAAACTGTTTGAAAATGTTTCTTTAGTAAAATACTGAATTTTAGATTAACCTTTCAAATTGAGAAGGTCATTGCCAAAGATCTAACATTCAGCTCTTTAGATGAGGGTGTTGAGTACCTGTGATTCCATTAAGTCACGTACTGAACTTCTAGCAAACCAAGAAGCAACAGACCACACACTTCAGAAAAGTTGTATTTTTACATATTTGTATACTTTGTAAAAAATTAATTTAGAAAACAAAGTTTAAACAGTACATTTCCTAGAATTAAGCTAGTTATGCTTACAATAATTTTTAAGTTCTAATTTGTAGGCATGCTGAAGAATTGCATGAACATGCACGTTGATCAGGCATATTACAGAAATGTGGAGTTTTGAAAGACAAAATGTCTTGCTCTGTCACAGTAAAGCAAGAAGTATAGATAAATGGTTAAAATATTTTGAATTTTTAATTAGAAGCACTTCAGTTACTATGACAGTTCACATATATATTGTAAATAGGCCAATCTGTGCTTCAGACTGGCATTGTAATCAGTAGTTTGTGGCCTATTCTTTATATAGCAAACCCATCAATTGCAGCCGCATGAGCATGACTTCTAATTCTTATTAGATCACTCCTCATGAGATACATAAATACCCTGATTTCACTTGCACCTTTGGCTGACTTTGTCAGGGATGGAGAAATATGAACTGACTTAGCCTTGTAGTTAAGAAACAGTTTGTTATGGATCAGATTCATCCCACCTCTCAACTTTACTCATGCTTAGTGAGAGAAAAGCAAGAGATCATGTGGCAATGCCCAGCAGATACAAAGTTTTTCAAAGCTGAATCACATACAGGCAACCATACCCAACATATGGGGTAGGTTTCCTCACTATTTGGGTATATTAGGCAAAGCAACATACAAAGGAATGTGTGCCTGGTGTCATTGTATAACAAACATGGTAATAATGAGCACATACTTGCATATTTTGTGTTGTGTCATGAGTTTGGTATGTAGAGTTAAATATCCTGCCATTGACAAGTGAAGTGCATTGCTAGTATTTGTTAGGTCATTCAGAATGATATTTACTGAATATTCTGTTTACTGATGGTTCCTGGTTTTTAAGCAGTGGCTGTATGGAGGCAAGGTATTAGGTGCTGTTTGCATAGTTACACTTTCATGCATGCTACATATGTTTTAGATTAGTACTAGTTGTCCTATATAATGGAAAAGGATTTCTTCAGCACAAGTAAAGACCCTCTCAAATGCTTTAGGAATATATTCAGCATCCTCAGGCTTAATGTTTAGACATTGTCAGGATGTGCATTTCAATACAAATCTGAAATCATAAAGGGCTCAAAATACATATTATTTAGGAATGCAATTTTAAAATCCTTAATTTTGTACAAGGATTTCTAAATGCAGAGATTGCGTTTTTATGAGTACTTAACAGAACAATTTAGTTTATTTGCTCTCTTAACGGTTGATTGTAGTAATAGTGGAACAAATACAGAAACTGCTGAGAACAGGCTTAATGGTCATATTGGCAGAATTTATCTACAGAATCCTTGGTCTGTCTATAAAAGTGGTTTTTAAAATTCCTGTTTTCAACCCAGAACAGAGTCGACTCTTTAATAGCTAGGCTTTGAAACAGCACCTTTTTATTTTCTAATTTAAAATATCTGAAGTGACATCAAAAACAAGTATCCCTGGATTCACTGTGGAGAAAGACCTGAGTGGTTGGAGCATTATACTTGGGCATCAGTGCACCATAGTCATCTGTTGCTTTGCCTTAGTTGTGATTTGAGCACACTATTTAGCACTTCTGTTTTCAGTTTAGGTTAGTAAAACTTTAGTAGCTCATAGCATTATGGGAAGAAATACATACAGGATTGCAGAGCACCTTGGAATGTCAGGTATCGATCTAATATCCATACCAAACATAAATACAGACAAAGATAAGTAGACTAGAAAATATCATTCATAAAAGCGATAATCAGATTTGCCAAAAAGATTTCTCATGGAGTTAATGTCTGCCATGTATGAACTGTGTAGTCTTTCTTTTGGTAGGATTGCTACATCTCTTACTTTAAGTAAACAACAGTAGGAGGTGACCTTGTGATCCTGTTCCTTCCTAGTTCCTATACTTAGAGGATTCAGGGAGGATGGCTAGTGCATTATAGAGAAACCGTAAACAAACCAATAGTCCTTCGGTTAAAGCATGAAGTCTTTTGAAATTTGCTGATTTTGAAATTTGCTGATTATTCCTGAGAATCTACCGTCTTATTGAAAGTGTTTCAAAAGTACACTGTAAAGTCCCATCCAACAGCTTGACTGCTGGGCTGAGAGGAATGCTTGTGTTTATCTCACAGCTGTGCCACTGTTGAGTTTTTACAATTCTGAATAGTGGAACTACTTTAATTTCCATGATGTTAACAGTCTCATTAATATATTTTAAAATGTAAAATATTCTATAAAAAAAAACTTAAAAAACACCCTTGACTCTTTTTTTAATTTTAACTGCTGTGTTGCAATATTTGGTATAATTCTGAATCCAAGATGGCAAATAACTTATCTGAGATTTTTTTAAATTTATGTTTTAAAGCCATTTGTGGTTTGTTTGGGTGGTTTTTTTAATTTTTATTTTTAAGATGGCCATCAGGGCTACTAGATTGAGAATTACATTTTCAAGGTACTCTGGCAAAACTAATCTGAAACTTTAGATTTACCAGTTTAAAAAAAGGTCT